CACCCAGTCTCAATTGCCATCTCAGTGCACCCTAGAGGCTGAGCCAGCACGACAGGCCCAGGAATTGTACTCCCAGCCCCTGCTCCTGCTTGCAGGCGCTTTAATCCGCTGAGCTATTCAGCTGCCCCTTTTCTATTCTCTTTTTTAAAATCTGTCTTCTTTGGCTGTGCTGAGAAATTCTTTTTTGACCTGAGATTATTCCTCATCTTATTTCTTCTATAGCATAATATAGTTGTTTCTTTACTTCAATTGCCATCATTTCAGAAATTTCAGTTGTGTAACTTTCACATTATTCTGTCCTTGTCTCTTGGACTTTGTTCTAGGTGGTTAAGAGGATTCAGATTGCCTTTTGTTCCTACATCTTGGCAGTTTTGAAGCTCTCCATGATCAGACTCAGCAGTGGTGGGAGAGTGGTATGAGTGAGTCAGTAAGGTTCCTGCTACAGTGGGAGGGGGCGGGGAGATGAGGTAGGACTAACCAAGTCTCTCAGTACTCCTGGGGACAACTGGCTGATGCTCAACAAAGTTTCTGGGCAGGTGGTGGATGTGGGTCAGATTCACCAGGATCCTATGGGCCACCTAGAGTCCTCCTAAATTCTTAAATGGTTGGACCAGGCACCAAGAAATCTCTGTGCCTGAGTACACTGGGCCTACAGGTTACAGCTCACCACAGTGCCATGGGCCACCCAGAGTCCTCCTAGGTTCTCACATGATGAGGCTGGGTGCCAGCACAGCTGTTGCCCCTATGCCTGGCACACTCAGGTCACAGATCACCAGTTTCAGATGATTGCAATGGGCACCAGCCAGGTCATTTATTTTAAAATGTTATACAGGCCTTAGTATAGCATTTACTGGCAAGTTTTATCCATTAATGAATTTTTCAGTTTATAGCAATTATGATTTTTCTAATAAAAGGCAAAGTGAAGCATATATATCTTGTGCATCTTTAGCTCTGAAAGTTTAGCTATCTGTTCTCCAATAGACACACATTTTTAATACATGGGATAATACATTATCCCTCCCTAAATGTCCCTCACACACTCATACTGACTCCTGAGTTCAAATATTGCAAATGTAATAAAGTTTTGTAACTTTTAAAAATACTATATTTATTACGGGGTCTCTCTATGCAGTTTCCCACTTGTAGTGATCCTCCTATCTCAGCCTCCCCAGGGCTGGGATTACAGACATGTGCCACCACACTTGGGTTTTAGTGGCTAGCACAGCATGAGGCCAGCATGGTGCGCAGTACTGGAGATCAAACTTGGGTCCTTATGCTTGCCAGGCAGACACATAAGCCAAGAAGTTATTTAGTAACTTTTCATTTTTAAAACTATGTAATATGGGGAAAAGAAAATTAAAGAACACTGCTATCTAATAGAATTGAATTTTCTTTCCCTAGTAATGGGGATTAAACCAAGGCCTTTGCACTGAGCAGCCATTTTTGTTTGCTGGCTTGTTTTTTGAGGCAAGACCTCAGTAAATCTAAATTGCTCAAGCTAGGCTCTGACTTGTCAACTTCCCAGGGTGCTGGGATCAAACATGTTCCACCATGCTTGAATGGGAATTTCAGCAAGTTTCAATAATCTTTGAATGACCGGCCAAATAGCTCAGTGAATTAAAGCCCTGCTTAGGCAGACACAGTAGCCAGGGGTTTGATCCCAGGCCTGCTGGCCAGCCCCGCCCATTGGATGTGCTGAGACAGTGATTGAGACTGGGCATGCGCCTATAATCCCAGCCCCGTGGGCGGTCAAACACAGGCAGATCATTACAAATCCAATCCACATAGTGAGACTCTGTAGACCCTATACTAAAATAAATATTTGAACTGTGTTACTCCTGGCAAGTAATACTCTATATAAAGTCATTTTTAAACGTATATAAAAAATAGAAAAATGAACCAAAGCAGTACCAAAAAAAAAAAATGTAATACAAACACTAGGTTTTAAAAACCTAGACCTAATTTATATCTTACTGCTAAAATTTGTATCCTCAACTTTCAAAGATGTCTTAAAGAACAGCTCCCAACTCCATCCACCAAATGTTACCAGTAGACAGCAGATGGTAATAGTAAACTAATGGGAAAAAGAAAAAACTCTGGTAAGAAAAGTTTTATTTCACTTTCATTCTTAAGAGTAACACTATATAGAGATAGCAATCTTGAGAAAAAAATGATGGGGACAAAATGATTCATATGAGTTATATCCACTTAAAACTATTTGTGTTTGCTTTAAATGAATCCAGGTCCCATGGATTATATCCTAGAATTCTGAACTGATCTGATGACTAACTAACTCAAGACCATCGGACAGTAAAACCTTGATTCAAGATGACTGGATTGCTGTAACAGAAGCTAGCTTCACCAAGGATAAGAACTGGTTAGTTTTGTTCCTTAATATATACAGATCTTCAAACAATATCTAGCACATATTGACTTGTAAGTGTTCCTGACAAAATTCCAGAATTTAGGGACGGCACAAAAGTGTTTGCTTAGGTAGAGCGCAGTTCACCGGGTTCGATCCCTGTGTCAGCCCTGCCACCAGGGCATGCTGAGTTGGCGAATGAGACTGGGCCTGGTGGCACACCCCTGTAATTCCAGCGCTTGGGAGGCTGAAAACAGGAGCATCACTATAAATCCAATCTACATAGACCCTGTACTAAATACATAAATTAAAACAAAAAAAATCCAGAATCTAAATTTTTCAAGTTGTAAGTTCCTAAACTTATTTTCCACTTTGCATTATTTTCAATTTATTATTAATTATAAAGCCTTGTACTACAAAGCCAAATATTTATAAATAGCCAGTACAGACTACCTAACCTAATCCTACCAGACAGCAATGAACATTAATCAAGTTGTCTTAAGATGATCATAGTGTATCACCTACCAAAAACCTAAAACATCTTTCTCCATACAAAAGGAGAAATTTCAACAAGGGTCTTAGTAGCCAAAATTACATCTTTAGAGTTTTAAATATTTTTAAAAAATTTTTATAAAACACCTAATTCTGAAAGGATCTACCCCAGAAGCTCTTTTCAGAATTTTTTTCTTTAGTACAGGTTCTACAGAGTATCACTACTAGACTGGACTCACAATGATTCTTTTTTCAGCCTCCCAAGTGCTGAGATTACAGGCATGCACCACCACACCCAGTCTCAATGCCTTCTCAGCACGCCTCAGGGTACAATGGGGACCGAATCCAGGCTGCTGCACTCTAAGCAGGTGCTTTAGTCTACTGATCTGGCCAGCCCTAAAATAGCCATTTTGCTTTTTTTTTTTTTTTGCAGTACCAGGGATTGAACTTGGGACCTTGTACTTGCCAGGAAGGCACTTATGCCCCTGTGCCATATCCCAGCCCTCAGCATTTATATAAAGTGGGCAACTTCTCTTCTTACTAAACTAGCACTTTTAAGCCATGACTCAGCAAGCATGTTCTCCAGGACAAATCCAGCCTGCTGCCTGTTTGCGTACATGAAATTTTACTGGAAAACAGCTGTGACTAGTCATGTATGGCCTATGACTACTCATATATTTTGTTCTGAGATAAGGACTCGCTATGCACTTCAGGCTGGTCTTGAGCTCACTTTGGAGCACAGGTCGGTCTTAAACTCACCACGATCCTTGTCTCAGCCACCTGACTGCTGGGATTGTAGGTGTGCACCACCATACCCAGCTGCCTAACACTGCTTTTGTTACAGCAGTGCAACTGAGTACCTATGACAGATTACATGGCTTATAAATACTTATGTCAGATCTTTACCAAAAGATTGCCAACCTCTATCTTAAAATATTTTCACATTAAAAAAAAAATTTAAATTTTCTTAAAATTACAAAAATGCAACTATTTTTCAATTTTCTTCATCACAAATTTTTGTGAACTAACCTAGATTATCTAAATATCTAAATACAACTTAAACTCTTGTTTCTATGAATTCTTTATCAAGTTTATTTCTGTAATCAGGTTTACAGAAACAGTTAATCATGGAAAGTGATTGGCAAAGGCAAGCACTGCTCTAATATAAACCTAAGGCTTATTTACTCACATAGAAAAACAACACTTTTTTTTCCTTTTGTTACCATGAATTGAACTCAGGACCTCAAGGCTTGCCAAGCAGACGCTGACACCACTGAGCTATATACCCAGCTCAACAAAAACTCGGATGTTAAAAATTCACAGTTCTTAAAAGTTAACTATAATGGCTTTTAAGATTATACAAAATCAATTTTTCAGATAATATACTGTTAAAATTTAGCATTACCATGTTTGTATTAGTTTTATAATGGTCATTATCTGTCCTACAAAAGTTCTTCTATTTTCTCTACCAATCCTAACTCTCATTGTTTTTGATATTCAAGTCCTACCTTTTAATCCAATTTATTAAAACTTTGTTGGTACTCTTTTTTGTTTGTGGGCGGCCTGAACATGCCTTCAGGGCATTTCTGGTTTGGCGGGAGTATCTGGGTTTGAACCAGAGCAACTTGAGCCTCACTGCTTTTTTAAGCAGGCACTTAAACAACTGAGCTAATGGGCAGGCCCCCGGTACTCTTTCTTTAATCAACTAAACACATTTTTATTCACATCTCTAAGTGCTAGGGAGGAACTTTTAAAAGCACTGGCACTACCAATACTACTAGTGCAGTGGGATAAATTTCAGTGATTTGTTTCATGAGAAAATTTACCTTCTGGTGATCTTTAAAATCTTAGAAAGAAATACATACATCTTGCACTAGTTATTTATATGCATGACTTATGAACCTCAAATTTTCAACTATTTTCCATAAATATCAAAATATCAGAAAGTACTTATTTTCTACATTTTTAAAATTATTTTTGTATCATTCAGTAGAAAAATAAAATGAAGTGACCACGCTTATAATTTAGACAGCTTTTTCAATAAAAACATAGAAATATTTTGATTTACATAATACTATAAATCAATATGAAGTCAAAATTCACAATTAACATGTTCATAAAAATTCAGAAAACCATCCTCAACAGTTTCTATACAAGATATACAGATGTGTAGTGAATGCCATTCTTCCTCAGTGTGCTACAGAGTTTAGAGGCTCTGCTCGAATATTCCCCAGATCAAGTGCAGAATCTGTCTCTTCATCAATTTCTCCAATGACTGCCCTGTAATTAATTAAGAAAAAGTCAAGAGTTAAACACATTTCTGAAATTAATTTACCTGTATTTCTAAAATCTTATACATCAACACTTAGTTCCATTCTTCCAAAACATGTAAAACTGAGAAGACACAGTAGAAAAAACTAGTTAAGGTAGAAAACAAACAGCATTTTCATCAGCTAGTGAATTATACATGTAAGTCACAAACCTTCTGCAAACAGCAAAGGGACCAAAAACTGGAGGAAGGACAAAAGGAATTGGAGTGGAAGGGTATATAAGAGAAATTTATGTTACACATATGATTACCCACAATGCATGTAATCATTATATACTTACTATAAACATGTACTAATAAAAAATTTTTAAAACTCAAGGAGAAATAATTAGCAGGTAACATTATTTCAGCAACCAATATTAAAGGAATGCCAGTACTTGTTTAAAAAACATTTCTCTATCAAAAAGAGATTGATTTGCAGTGTTATTAATATCCTTCACATGCAATACTCCCACCCGAGACAATTTCAGGCATTAACAAGACAATTATCAATTAGCTTCCAAAACTCCAGAAAATACAACAATCTGCTTTCATGGAGCCAGTACAACCCGGTTCTATCACACTGGTATAGGATTAAGGTTTAAAATTTTTTTCTTAATTAAGGCAGGATAAACCTTCTTCAAATCAACTGTTACATACAATTACAATACAAAAGATCAGTACTGCTTCAATCAGGAGACTTCTCCCCAGTCTGTTCTCTAAAGTCTTTACAGCTACCCTCTAACTTTACCTGAAAGTTACTCTAGAATATTTTATAAACTCCTGCTTTTGATTAAAGATAATAACCAAAATTGCTAGCGTATCTTTTGCTGCTTCCTAGTCATATGTTACTTCTATTAATAGGAAATGGTTTCAATATTCTAGCCAGTTACTACATTAGCCATATGTAACTATAATTAAGCTGATTAATCAGTGATGTCAGCCACTTTTTGAATGCTCAACAGCTGCATATGGGTAGTACTGAAAAATACCAAGATACATTTCCATCACCAAAAACATTTCTGGGGCTAGCAAGATAGCTCAGTAGACTAAGCACCTGCTTACGTAAGCACAGGGACCAGGGTTCCATCCATGCCAACCTACCCCCTAGATATGCTGAGCCCTCCACTGAGACCAGGTGTGGTGGTACACGCCTGTTAGCTCAGCACTGGGGAGGCTGAAAACATAAAGATCATTATGAGTCTGAGTTGTGTGAAAGAATTCTCCTCCAAATGGTTACCTGCTTTCCTTAAACTGCCACCTCTAAAATATTCTCAAACTAAGTTACCAATGTCCCAAGGTAATTAATATCATAGGATATGGGAATATTGTAAGCATGTCAATTACATTAAAAATTACACTAAAAATTCATGAATTATAAATATACATATTTATTTATAACTGCTTCAATAAGAGATTTCAGAAGATTTTCAAACTCTAGCCTTGGACCCTAGGAATGTATGTTCCTGTGAGGTCCAGACCAGTTGTCTGTGGTCATACCACCCTGAACAGCCTGATCTCCTATGAAATGCAGACTAGTCAGAACATTTTTAGAAGCCTCAGAAACAAACTGTTTAGTGTAAGGCAAGCCTCTTGGGCCCTAGCCACTTAACTATTAGAAAGATAGACAAATTTCAGCAGGTAAAAGTTTAATTTGAAAAAGATCATTTTGCTGGTTCCTGAAGAATCTTGATATAAAATTTATAGTTTTGCCTTTCGAAGTTAAAAAAAGTCACACTTACAAAATAAATGAAAGCATATTTGTTTGCTATATATGAATTATATAGTATAGTTTTGAGAAAATCTCTTCCTTTATAGTAAATACAATTTTAATAATTTTATTAGTACCTGTTTACAGTACATATATACAAGCAGGGAAATAGATCTGTAGTATAATTTTAACTTCAAAGATATGTTTTACTTACACATTGTCACCTCTTACAATGTATAATCCTAGCACCACTTGTTCAACTCCTTGTGAAGAGCTGAATACTCGTTCATGGCTTTCATCCAAAATCAAATTAATGGTCTGGTCAAAACCTTTAAGTGTACCCTGAAAAGAAAATATCCCAGAAAAATAAAAGAAATATTCTAACACAAATGTGCACTTTATAATCATTTTAGTAGTTGGGCAGATACCTATCCAAACTAGAAGTCAGCTATGAAATAACATAACCAACAGTGTTTTAGAGCACAGAACTTACTTCTTGATTGCTTAAAACATGAAAAGCTGCATCACAAATCTGACTAGTGTGCAGTTAGGGAGTTACAAAGGACACCCAGGTACCACAGCATTTCCAATGAAGTAGCAAAAAGTTCTTATAGTGCAGTAGCAAACACTGAGAATACAAACAAGAATACAATGGCAAATATTGAAATGATAGCCATATGTATACATACATACTAGCTATAGCATAGTAACAGTATGCTGCGTGCTACATACTAGTACTGTGTGTAAAGCACTGTAATAAACACACTGTACACATCTACTCTCTACCCTTTAAGGTCAAATTATAATTATACCCATTTCAAAGAAGAAAAATGGAGACCCTTGAAAATCTTTCATTCATGCTATACTGAATAGCAGCCCCAGAATTCCAACAACAAAAGTTTTAGAGTCAGACACTAAATAAATACATCATACTGCTGTTACTGGGTTATTGGGAAAATTTCACAATAAATAATATATGTGAGGCACATATATTAAGTACTTATCAAATGTTAGTTGCTTGAAGTTTGCATATATTTATGGGACAGAGCTAAATCTGATAAGATTTAACTAGTAAATAGAAATATGACTATAATAATTAGCACCCAAACATGAAGGAAATAAGGTAAAATTTTATGAAAGATGGTTAGTTTTTAAATAAAGGAAAATAACAAATGTAGCAAAACGGTAACTCAGATGCAATAAATTTCTGAAGAAACTAATTTATACTAGCTTTGACTGGTTAACCTCTGAAACTCAGCATCAAGCTTCTTCATGTTCTGGAAAACAATTATGTAAAATCACAATAAAATAAGAAAAAATCATAACCTAGAATTTGGAAGAGAGCCAAGATACTATATCAACAACCTCTGTTCCATTTTAAACATACCTATTTCAACAAATAACAATGTGTCAAATACAGAACTACTGAAATTTAAGTATTCAGGTATGACTTTCCTTGTATAAAATTTACTATCTACCCTATTAAGAAATTTAGAGGCCGGGGAGATGGCTCAGTACAATGAGTGCTTGCCTGGCAAGCGCAAGGGCCCGAGTTCAGTCCCTGGTTCCGCCAAAAAAAAAAAAAAAAAAGAAAGAAAGAAATTTACACAAGGTTTTCACAAAATAAATTATTTACAAGATTCTTGAAGTGTTGACATTAAAATATTTCAAACTGTTCATATCTGACAAAATACAATATGAAATGCCTAAAAAAATCCTGCTTTTCTTACTTACTTAAGGAAGAAGGCTACAACCCTGTCTCTGAAATCAAACCTAATTGAAATCCCCATTTAGTTTTGTTTGGTTGGTTTTCTGCAAAACCAGGGATTGAACTCAGGCCCTTGCGCTTGCCAGGGAAGCACTTACTCTACTGAGCCATCTCCCTGCCCCCCCCCCCATGTAGTTTTGCCACTTATTATGCTGTGACTGGCAAAGGCACTCAATTTTCTGGGTTTGGTTCCTTACTATAATACTGAGTAACTCTTCACATAGCTGAGGGCTGGGGAGATAGCTCAGTAGAATAAGTGCTTGCTTGAGTTCAATCCCCAGTATCGCAAAAAAAAAAAAAAAAAAAAAAACAAAGAAAAAGAAAAAGAAATAGAAAAAATTCTTCACATAGTTGTACTACAGACCAAAAATGACACATATAAAGTGCTTGGCTCATCCCATATACTCAATAAATTGTATGTAATAGTAATGACCCACAATAATAACTACAATGATTAAAAAAAGAAACAAAAGCAAAACTACAGAATGAGAAAATATGAATCAAGGACGGGCTGCAAATACAATAGTGGTCCCATAAAATTAAATCACCTAGTGGTATCACAGCTGCCTAGTTTATGTAAGTACACTCTTTAAGATTTTCACACAATGAAATCACCTAACACATTTTTCAGACTTGATCCCTACTGAACACCCAGTGAGTTACATAACTCCCAAGTTTCTAAGAAACACACAAACATTTAAACTATTTATATAGCAAATGTCAGAACACTCAATGGGAAAAGAAACAAAAAAATGCAATAAATAAATCTATTATACTCCAAGAAGCTTTGCACATAGCATACACTCAGTCTTTATTAAGAAAATATGGATTGGCACCAAGGTAGAGAACGGAATCAGAAAACTGCAGAAAGGTGTACTGTGGTGATAAGGCATTATAGACCAGAAGGTGCATATAAAAATTTACAACCAATAAGCCGACCAGAAGGCAAAGAATCAAAAAACCACTTACCACAATCATTCTTCCATCAGAAGTAATAACAGCAACAGTTCCTGATAATTGAATCAAGGAAAGCATTTCTTAGGGAATACAAATTGAAAATTTAAAATTTTTGTAAGAGAATGGTTTGAATTACGGTGGAGGGGCATGAGATTTAAGATCCATTTATTTAACAAATCCATTATGTTCACTACATAAAAACTTAAGGTTTTAATTTCTTTAAATTCTGCTTTTGTGATAATTACGTAATCAAAGAAAAGGGAAACCTTTCTCTATATGTGAATGTATCTTGTCTTAAGGAGCAGGATGCTTGGTACTAAGGAAGTTGCTGATCTGTGCTCTTGAACAGGTCATCTGCCCTTTCTTAGGCTTATTTCCTTATGTTGGAAACAAAAACTGTTTAAGTTTAAATTAACCAATGCTGTATGATTTCACAAAGCCGGCACAACTGTCTTCGGAGTTCTGGCTTCCAGAATTCAAGAAGCTACGATTAATGTCACCAGACTTTCGTATTCAACCTCTGTGCCGGTACATGGCCACGAGAAACGTTACCGTCCTGAGACGCTACAACCCATTACAAAAGCAAACACTTTTCACTCTGCCAACAGGCTGAGCCTTCAAGCGGGAAAGCGAGTGGACGCCGGTTTGAGCACCACCGCTGCTTTCTGCTGCCTTTGAACATCGTGCAAAGCTCGCGACTGAAACAGCTACAATACACCGATTCACAAGACAGTCATCGCGCAGGGAACGGCTCATCTTCTGCCCAAACTTCAAGTGGTAAGGAAATAAGAAGGTCGAGTCAAGACGCCACTTTCACATTTGCTTCAAGCTAAGACCAGCACGCGCCGCGGCCGCAGACCGAAGGGTGGCCGCAGCGGCGGCTCCCGGGCCTCGGCCTCCCGCCCGCCCTCCCGCGGGTCCCGCCCACGCCCTCCAGGGCGACACCGGCCCAGTCGTCTGTCAGCCTGCCAGAGGATACGGTTAATGTAGTTCTCCAAGGCGGACGTCATGTTGCCGAGCCCGGAGACTCCGAGCTGCAGACGCGGGAAAGCGGCTAAAAAGGCCCGCCCCGAATAAGCGCTGGCTAGCGCCAGCCGCCCGCAACAAATACCGCGAGACTTGCCAGGCTGCCGCTGACTGGAGTCGGAAACTGAAAGGGGCCCGCCGCCCAAACCGGAAGCCAGGTGAGGACTCTTAGGGCGCGTGCGTGGTGTTTCCGCAGGGCTTCCGGGCAGTGATCTGGTAGCCGAGAGGGACAAAAGCCATCAGGAAGCGGAAACGAAAAGAAGGCACTTGTTTAAGGTGGGTTAGGTGAGCGAAGGCGGGGGAGCGAGCCTCTGGCATAGGGACTGTCTGCGTGACAGGAGTTAATAGGGGAAAACGTGCAAAGACGAGGCTGGAAGAAACAGTGTCTTCACAGAGATATGAAATGTAGGTGCAAGGAAATAGAATCCCTAGTTTTCAGTAGCACAGGTTGAAAATGAGAGACGCTAAACGCCCTATCAAGTCATACACGTTGTAATCACGCGGATTATGTATATGGAGAACAATGTGTGTTAGGGATTTCTCTCTACAAGGCATTTCGACTCTGGACCTCACTGTCCTTGGATCCTGCCATAGCTATCATTTTGGGTATCATGCCGGAAAACTCCCTTCTCCGGGTTTTTAAAAGGAATTGAAGATATAAAAGTGTACACAACACATCAGCAGGAGTGATTTTTTTCCCCCTTTTATCACGAATTATCTTTGATTTCCAGTTGGGCATATTTTTTCTTAACTGAAACTGAAAGAAATCTTGTGGCATTGCAGCAGTTTTTGCAGAGCAAAGTGAAAGCCTCTTACTTTGGATTACAGCACAAACTCAGATCACCCCCCCCCCCCGCAATGGTTAATACTTTACCTTACTGAAATTTACTCAGACCTGCTTGAAATAAGCCTTAGATACGCAGGAATTAAGTGATAAATGTTCTGTGTAATCCAGAGAACAAATAGTCTTCCATAAATGAAATGAATAGATGGTGAGGCTTGCAAATGTGTTCAATTAAATTGTGTTCAATTAATTATGTGTTCAATTAAAAGGGAATTAAAGTACCAATTGATGATAAGTGAAATATCATTAGTGAAGATTTTTTTAAAGTTATATGTCACCTTCTTAAAGTAAATAATCCATGTGGCTCTTCATTCCTTAGAGTATATTTATGTTAGGAAAATTTTTATTAACATTTATAGAATTCTATCGTAAATACATTATAAATCCTTGACCTCTTGTAGTTTCCAAATAAATAGCAGGCCAAATAAGTAACAGATGCTCAGTGCTTATAGGTCACCGCAAAATATCTTTTCTTAGAAAATTTTGTATACACATTTAAAAACTACTATTTCATGTAGTCCCTAAAAATCACAGATGTGGAGAAAAGGTATATCGAAAAACTCAGCCCCTTGCACTTGCCAGGGAAGCGCTTATTCTACTGAGCCATCTCCCCGGCCCTACATTACATTTATGACTTAACTAAATTCGTCTTGTAACTTTCAAAGTACATAAACAAAGAGTACAGTAGCTTATAAAGGAGAAGCTCCAAAGAGGAAGTTTTCTGTGTAAAACTTCAACTAAAAGAAGAGATACACATTTCTAATGTCTTATTAGTTATTATACTCTCTTTAAAATAAATTAAAAAGGGCTGGCAAGATAGCTCAGTGGACTAAGCACCTGTGCAGGGTTAGATCCCTGGTACCACGTGCCACACCAGCCCCTCCAGGGGGATGCTGAGCTAGGGATGGAGTCTGGGTGTGGTGGCACATGCCTGCAATCCCAGCACTGGGAAGGCTGAAAGCAGGAGGATCATTATGAGTCCGAGCTGTGAAGTAAGACCCTGTACAATATATATGTATTTTTTAAAGACAAAAAATTTAAGATTTCTTGAAAGTGTAAATATTCAATTATTTGTTCAGTTTTGCATAATTATATCCATTAAGCTGAGCAACATTTGATAATAAAAAGGTAGTATAACAACCACTGTTAATTAGCTATTCCTGTTTTGAAAATCTGTAACATATGTGTTGTATGTTATCCTGTTTCTGTCTTTTTTTCTATTTATTTTTGCTTCTGTTTTTACTCTTCAAAATAAAATGAATTGAATTTAAAGATAGAAAAATAAAGACAAAAAAGAAGAGGTACAGTAATGATTTCACCTTAGCTCAAAAATCTTGAATTTTTCATTTAAATGATATTTTTTCTCATTAACTTTATTGAAAATCATTAATTATATAGCATATAAAAATTGTAGACAAATATTGAAATGTGAAAGATATAAGATGTAGACAGAGTGAATTTTAGAGAAATATTTCTGAAATGAATACACAGCATGAGATTAATGGATTGTACATTCATTGTAAGTAAATTATTTACAAACTTAAATGAATGCAACAATAAAAATTGTCTAAAATAAAGATGAAGAAGAAAGAATTTACAGATCAGTCATATAATAGTTCACTCTGTGCCAAAATCAAGAAACTTACATTCATATAATTAGAATTCTCAGAGTAGAAAGGGGTAGGCAATAAATATTCAAAGATTTAAAATTTCTGAATTTAGTTGAAATCATGGCACCACATTTCCAAGAAAAATAAACTTTTTGCACAAGAAATTTGAATAAAATCATACCAAGATATACAAAAATGACCTTGTCCAATACTAATTGTAAAGAAGTCATTAAAGCATATATTAAAAAAATATTAGCTATGCAAGAACAAAATTAAATAGCATCTCATTCCATAGTAGAAAAAAAAAGAGCAAGTGTGTAAGAAACTAATTAATTCAAAGGACTGAAAAGAAAAGAAAGAAAAAGAAAAGACCTGCTGTGTGTGTGTGTGTGTGTGTGTGTGTGTGTGTGTGTAGAAAACAAGGAAGAAGTAATATAAAGTGAAAAGAAAATGGAACTATACTATTTTTAAAATTTTTATTTTTTTATTAATTTATTGTATTTTTTAGGGAAGGGTCTACAGGGTGTTCAGGGTCTCACTACTAGATCGGACTCGGCTCTTACAGCCTTCCAAGAGCTAGGATTACAGGCATGTGCCACTACCACCCAGTCTCAATTGCAGTCTCTCTGTGCCCCGGGGGCGGGGCAGGCCAGGGAATTGAACCCCCAGCCCCTGTGCCTGCTTGCAGGTACTTTAATCTGCTGGGCTATTTGGCTTGCATGAAATATACTTTTTAAAGTTTCTAACACTAGCAGAAAATATCATACCATATCTTGTAAGTAGATTGTAAGTCAAAGATGCAGTATAAATCTTAAAAATTAAGATTAAACAATATTCAAAAATTAAAAATTAAATATTTCTAAACAATTCAACTAAGAAAAAGTTTTCATGATAGTAAAGAATTACTGAGAATAAAACATAACATAAATATTGGAATGGCAAATATATGACCATCCCTTCTAGCAGTTTGGGAATAGGATATCACACAAAGTTCTATCACACAAAGTTGTGGACATTGACAGTGTCCATGATGCTTACTGGTGTCCAGGTGTCACTTGTGGGACTGAGCTACTGCTATTTCCTTGATATCCATCCTGTAGACCTGGACAGAATCATGACCAATGGGGTGTAGAAGTCCATTTGTAGAGTATGCTGATGGAAATATTTTGCTGCTGTATACAAAAGAATAATTGAAAGACTGCTTTTGTATACCCTTTTTCTCCTGTATTTCTCCTCTGTCTTGCAGATATTGAATTTTTTTTTTCCTGCATGCTAGTTTTTGTTGTTGTTGTTGTTGTTGTTGTTGTTGTTTTTTTGGCCGAACCGGGGATTGAACTCGGGCCCTTGCACTTGCCAGGGAAGTGCTTATTCCACTGAGCCATCTCCCCGGCAATGCTAGTTGTTTTTGAGAGATCTTTTCTTACCTTTTCACTAGCTGCAGTAGCAAGGTCTGAAAGTATTTTCACTTTCATTTAAATGGTTTTGCCAGCTTGTGATTGAGTTTTTAATTTCCTTGAGGTTTTAATTTCACTTTGAATCTGCTTTATGAATTCTATTTCTTTCATATATTGCTCATTCAAGGATTCCATCATTTTTCTATTCTCTATTTTTTTAAAATCAGTGTCTTCTTTAGAAGCACTTAGTACTTCCTTCATTATAATTATCATTTTTTTACAGATTATTTCTGATCTGATTTCCTCTACACCTTTCTGCAGTTATTTCTTTACCTCAGATGCTAATATTTCAGAGATTTCAGGTTGTGCTTTCCAGTTTCTTCTCTGCTATTGTCTCCTCCATTTGTTCTAGGTGGACTTGGGGCCTGAGAATGCATTTTGCTCCTTTTCTTTGTCATTTTGTACAGCACTGTCTTCTGACCTTTGGTGTAGAGCTTTGGTACAGTTATTGCCTTAACATCAGGTCCAGATCTACCAAGGTCAAACTCGTCCAGGTGAATGTGGCTTGGTTCTGGCTGCTGTGCTCCACTTCTTCCTGCTGCAGCCCTTGGAGGTGAACCCATCTTCTGCTCCTGGATCAGCTGGGTGGGTCTTCCCTCTAGCCTCTCTGCAGGGAGTTCTGCCGCAGGGTTCTACATCAGGCCTGTCTGATGGAAGAAGTTCCATTCACATGCCGGGCCAGGGCTCTGGGTCAAATGAGGATCCAGCATGCCCAGATGGTCTTAAATGATATTCTGTCACCCATAAAGCATCATCCAACATAGGCTTCGAATTAACAATTCCATTAGTTCTAAATCTAAATCTTGGAGGGGAAAAAAAAATTCAGCCATTCATCTGTTGATGGACAGATAGGCTGCTTCCAAGATTACCTATATGAATTGTGCTGCACTAAACATGGTGTGGTGGGGGCTGGGGAGATGGCTCAGTGGAATAAGTGCTTCCCTGGCAAGTACAAGGACCTGAGTTCAATCCCCAGTTCTGCAAAAAAAAAAAAAAAA